GTCACTAAAAAGATCTCCAAAATCCTGAATAAACACAAGATCCAGGTCCGATTCAACACAATACATAAAATCCGTGATCTGGTTCCATCTGTAAAAGATGCTGTTCCAGACATACAGTATCCGGGCATTTACAAACTAAAGTGCCTCTGTGGTAGCAACTACATTGGTGAAACCAAACGACATATCTCGGACCGCATCCGCGAACATAAAGCAAACTTGAAACACGGTAGGACGAACTCTTCTGCCGTGGCAGATCACTGTTATAATTCAGTGGGTTCACATGAGTTTGACTTCTCCAAGACGGAGGTTCTTTGCAAGCCAACCGGCTACCATGAGAGATTCGTTCACGAGGCCATCCACTTATACAAGCACAGAGACAATTTCAACTGAGAAGATGGATTCTGGCTTAGTAACCATTGGAAAGATGTTTTAAACCATTTCGGTTCTTAATTAATTGTATTTTACAGTGACCATCAGACCGCAGCTCTTTCGCTGGCATGGTGACTGTTGCTCTCTCCCCCCTCCTCCCTTCCGAGCATGGATTAACTCGTCCGCCTGAATGTCGCTGTCCGTGGTTCTGGTGTTGAGGGGAAGGAAAACCCGCCATTTTTCACCATATAACATTGTGATATTTAACGACTTATTGTTAGTTGCTCAGCTGACTGGAGAGTATATGGAGTTTATTGATAACTTTGAGGAGCTTATATTTTAGTTTTTTATTGGTTTACTATATGGTATTCATTACATAGTGTAATGTATACCCAGTTGCTGTATCATTAATAGCTCAGCTTATTGAAGAATATATTAAGTACATTTATTATATTGATGTGATATAGACTTAATTTTTTCACATCAGTTTACTTTATGATAGTTGGTTAGTTGTAGACCTTTAGCGTCCATATACTAAATGCCTCTGTTGATATGTAAACTTTTACTTTAACACAGCTATTTCTGTCACAAGCTAATCCCTCTGCTATTTCAATGCTAAATTCTCCTGCTCTGATATGTAAACCCCTTTGTTAAGGCTCTTCACGCCTCTCACCGAGCTTAAAATACGCTATGGTTTACTTTATGATAGTTGATAGTTGGAGGCCTTTAGCGTGCATATACTAATTGCCTCTGTTGATATGTAAACTTTGACTTTAACACAGCTATTTCTGTCACAAGCTAATCCTTCAGCTTTTTCAATGCTAAATTCTGCTGCTTTGATATGTTAACTCCTTTGTCAAGGCTCTTCACGCCTCTCACCGAGCTTAAAAAAGACGCTGCGAATCTTAGCAGCGTTAATTGAAGGTCTGTCGTCCCGACAGTTCTGTTCTTTCACCTGAAGAAGGCTACTTGTGTTGTGGCCGAAACGTCGTGAGAATTTTATTGTCTTGTTTTATTTTATTATTTTATTCTCATTATATGTGACTTTACCGAAAGAACCAAGGACGATGATATTAAAAATTGAACTTTTTACATAACCGTATAATAAAATGTTAGCAAGTTCATATAAATTCAAGTCCTCTTTATATTACACTTATTATTCATGCTTTGATTCTAATACGTTTCTCGTGTTTTCTACCTTATAATTTTAAGTGCTCATTTGTTCATGACTAAAATAACCTAAATTTTGATTTAAAGCTTTCGTGACTGCAGGGATTCCTATTCTTTGTTCCTTCGGTAAAGTCACGTAGAAGGGAAACAATAAAATAATAAAAATATAAAACAATAAAATTCTCACGACGTTTCGACTGCAACACAAGCAATCATCATCAGGTGTGAAAACCACCACTTTGTTTGTAGACGCCAGGGTACTGTATGTCCGGAATCACATCTTTTACAGATGGAACCAGATCACGGATTTTATGTAATGTGTTGAATCGGACTTGGATCTTGTGTTTATTCAATATTTTGGAGATCTTATTTGTGATCCCCGAAATATAGGGTAAAGTGATTGTTTTGAAAGGTTCCTCAAGAGGGTCCTTCTTCATGGTTGGACATACATTACCCTGGCGTCTACAAACTAAGTTGCCTCTGTGGTAGTAGTTACATTGGAGAAACCAAACGACATGTCTCAGACAGCATTCGTGTACACAAAGCAGACCTAAAACACGGTAGGACTAACACCTCGGCCGTGGCAGATCACTGTTATAATTCAGTAGGCTCACATGACATTGACTTCTCCAAGACAGAGGTTCTTTGCAAGCCATCTGGCTACATGAGAGATTCGTTCATGAGGCTATACACATATACAAACACAGAGACAATTTCAACCGAGAAGATGGATTCTGGCTTAGCAATCATTGGAAGGATTTGATAAACCATTTTCGGGTCTTAATTGATTGTTCACGCTTACGGTGGCTTTCAGACCGCATCCATTATTTTCGTCTCCCCCTGCTCTTTTCCGAACATAGATGGACTCGTCCATCTGAACAAACTGTCAAATCGCTCTCTGTGGTGCTAACGTTAAAAAAACGCCACTTTTAAAAAATGTTCTTGCTGTGGTTTTCACACCTGATGATGATTGCTTGTATTGCAGTCGAAACGTCGTGAGAATTGTATTGTTTTATATTTTTATTATTTTATTGTTTCCCTTCTACGTGACTTTACCGAAAGAACTAAGCATATAAAAGAACCTACCAAAGAATTATTTTATTGTTAGTCAATATTGAATTGTGCTGTGAATCGTATAAATGGGAATGTAACGTACCCTATTGAAAATTATGACATTATATCATAGGTATGTTAGAACTGCATGTAAGGGTTGTGCAAAGTCATCATGCTGTATGACATGCTGATGGTTATCTGCAAGCATGCTGGTGATGCAACATTTAGATGGACTTCTTTGGAGTTAAATCCTTTGTCCAGAAAAGTCTCAGGCTCACTTGGGATTTTGGCCACTTTCAAACTAACGAGTGTTTTTGCATGACAGTGAATGAGAGTACCTGGGGGGACAACATCGTGCCGAAGAGAGTATGACAATGCATGGTGCTATACATGCAGCGTTTTTAAATAAATGTGGTAATGTGAGATGGCCACTAATGGTCCATGTCTTACAATCTCTTTCGTGGCACAGATCCAAGAGGAGTCTCTTTGGAAAGTCAGAGTGGTGTACACAAACAACTGCTGGTAAATATGCTCGCATGCATTTCATTTACATCCAAGATGCATGCATTTTATTTATATCGATGTCCCACAAACCACAGTTGGGTTACAATGTTTAGTTCCGAGAAGCTTGAGACAACCCATATTTGGTATACCTTGAATCGTCTCCATGGGCTCCCTTGAAGAATCGACATTTTGCCTTGATGTGTGCCTGTTTCCCCAAAATTAAAATGATTCTTAGAAGCCTGGTAAGTCCCCAAGCTATAAACATATTTTTGGTTGCAAAGATTGTTTTTCTAAGTGGCAACAAATATGTTAAAATATGGGCAAAATCCTGTTTCAAACTATAGCAAAATCTGTTTGCGGTCCATTGTGGGCCATTCCCGATAATGATAACTCATTTTTTTAGCTGTGAGACAACTGTTCATGACAGGGCATGATAGGTAGGGCAATGCCATTGCCTAGTGGTAGCGCATTCACTGCTTTTGTCGAGTTACATGGTTCGAATCCAGTAGCCGTCCTAATTATTACTGCGAGTGTAATAACTATAATGTTCCATTTGCTTTATCGTAGACATTAAAGATCTCCTGACGTAATTAGAAAGAGTAGGTCATTGCGTGCCGTAGTCAGGGTCCAAATTTGCCACACTGGAAAATTGCCCGTAAATTTCTCAATTGGGATTATATAGAGAGATTATCACCTCCGACTCGCAGACTGATGCACCAGGGTCATTCAAATGAGCTTATCTGTCCTCACCTGGCTAAACAAAATGAACTTGAACTTAACAACCACATGCATAGCATGGTTAATGTAAAAAAGTCACATGTAATTTTGAAAGCTTATTTTGTAAAAATTGCATCCCACAACGCTGTACAATTTGTAAAACGTGCCGTTTTAAAACGGAGGCATGGGAAACCACATACAAGCCAGAAGAGAGCCAGAACCGGTGCTAACAATTACCCAAGCTATGCGGTCTGCCAAAATAATTCCGTTGGTTTGGCAAATTTGGACCATGACGCCGGCACACAATGCATTATTAGCGTGAAAGGCGTTATGGGTCCTTCAACGTCCACTGTGAAAGCAGACGGCACGTAATATTTTTAAAGTTTTTTTTTAACCCACTATTAATCAGCGAGGCTGCTGGATTTGAAGCTTGAACCTTAGTAAAAAGCGTCGGGTGCACTTCCATTCGGCAATGTCACCGCCTCGTGGTTGGTATAGGTCTTGGTGCAAGGGATAAAATTGGGGGCCCTGTCCAATTCTGCCCCCCCCCCCCCTTTATAGTCGGGTGGCTGGTAAAAACACGAAAACCACGTAATTTTTACGTACCGGTGAAAAATGGGAAATACATACATTTTGGACCTCTGGAATATGTGTAATGAGAGAGCGTCATCTAATGGGCGGAAAGGGGTAACCGCATGGCCACCACCGGGTAGCGGGTATCCAATCCCAAGCGAGGATATATCTGGGCCAAAGGTAATGGCCGGAGTCAAAGGGGAACGTCCGGGAACCATCAGGAAGGTTCCACGAGGGGGCGTGGCTAGAGGCGGTGCTCAGCTCCGCCGAGAGAGATAGAAGCAGGGACAGCGGAGGACTCAGGGTCGGTGTGTCGCTGCACAAGCCTCTCCCCATCATCGACCACGTGGCAGAACCCAGCTAGGCTCGTCTCTCCTCCTGGCACAGCGCCAGCCAGCGGCAGGATCGGGGAGTGAGAAAGAGGCGGACCTCAACGGCGGAAACCAGCGAGGCTCGCCTCTCCTTCAGGCACGGCGCCAGCCAGCGGCAAGATCGGGGAGCGGGAGAGAGGCGAACAGAGAGAACGGCTCGTCCCCGGCCAAAGAGAGAGCAGGGAAACATACGGGGAGAGCGGGAGTGAGCTGTGCAAGAATTATATCAATAAAAGACGCCAGTCAAGATCGTCGTGGAAGTCGTTTATTATTCTACCAAGACTTTTAATGTGTGCAGAGAGGACCAATTACAATTCATACGAGTCAGAGGAACTCTTTGGTACAGGTATCTTCGTCTACAATACACCACACAACACCCATTGTTTAGAAATTTTCATTCAAATACTACATCCAGAAACTGCATATATAAGCTGTTTTAGGTACATGCACTGGTTTGTAAATTATTTCATGAAGCAAAATGAGTAAATCCATGAAGCGTATAAAACCTATGGGATACAATTAATGGCATACAAATCGATGTATATAGCAGTGTGCAACTATTTTAACTGTAAAAAATGATGTTTTACCTATTGCTATGATTATATTTCTGACGTCATGTCCAGCCTACTTCATTTCGCCCCACCAAATTTTGTTAGTCGTACTTACATGATAAAATAATCAGTTTGTGGTTAACAACACCGCCACTGTATAAATTCGTGTTCTGTCCACATAAAATATGTCGTTTTCACATGTTAGATGTAGCATGCACAATTCTTTCACGGTTATTTCGCCATAATGTGGTTACATAACGTTCAGAGTGTTTTAAACAAGAATATACATTGCTACCAGCTTTCTGTTGCCTTGATCAAAATACTCTTCTAAAAAGGTTGATTCAGATTAGATTAAACAAGCTTGTGTTAATATTTCAAGAACCATTATGATGTAAATATCAATGAACCAGTATGTGTTAAGACGGCGATGACAATCTTGATGGTACAGTTCATCGCCCACAAGAATGTCCTTCCGAGTTTAATAACGGGCCATCACCTGCACATTGGAAATTCACATAAAATACAATATTATCTTTTGAAATATTACTGACAACCAATATTACAACACAGTAATGGTCATTTGTAAAAACAGGTATTAAGTCTTAGTTCTTTCGGTAAAGTCACGTTGAAGCGAAACAACAAAATAATAAAATATATATAAAACAATAAAAATTCTCACGACGTTTCGACCATAACACAAACGGTCGTCTTCAGGTGTGTTGGTTTGCATACATTTATTTTTAAACGGTGTATTTATTTATTTATAAAACGTTAGCGCCACGCGCAGTGATTTGGCAGTTTATTTAGGACTAGTCCATCTATATTCTGAAAAGAGGAGGGGGGAGACGAATTTTTTCTTAATGTATGCTGTCTGAAAGCCACTGTAAGCGTGAACAATCAATTAAGACCTGAAATGGTTTATCAAATCTTTCCAATGATTGCTAAGATAGAATCCATCTTCTCGGTTGAAATTGTCTCTGTGCTTGTATATGTGGATAGCCTAATGAACGAATCTCTCATGGTAGCCAGATGGCTTACAAAGAACCTCTGTCTTGGAAAAGTCAATGTCATGTGAGCCTACTGAATTATAACAATGATCTGCCACGGCCGAGGTGTTGGTCCTACCGTGTTTAAGGTCTGCTTTGCGTTCACGAATGCGGTCCGAGACATGGCGTTTGGTTTCTCCAATGTAACTACTACCACAGAGGCAACTTAGTTTGTAGACACCAGGGTATTGTATGTCCGGAATCACATCTTTTACAGACGGAACCAGATCACGGATTTTATGTAATGTGTTGAAACGGACCTGGATCTTGTGTTTATTCAAGATTTTGGAAATCTTTTTTGTGATCCCCGCAATGTAGGGTAAAGTGATGGTTTTGAAAGGCTCCTCAAGAGGGTCCTTCTTCATGGTTTGAGTGATAGCTTTGCGGATTGTATAGTCGGAGTAACCATTAGCCTTAAGAGCTTGGTGTACGTGCTTGAGTTCACTGCCTATGTGTTCCTGGTCGGATATGCATTGGGCTCTATGATACAGAGTCTTGATGAGAGAATTCTTCTGTGATGGATGGTGGTGGGAATCCGGTTTCAGATAAGCATCCGTATGGGTAGCTTTCCTGTAGACAGAGTGGCTCATTGAACCATCAGGTCTCTTTTTAATTAGGACATCCAAAAAAGGTAACTTGCCATCTATTTCGACTTCCATGGTAAATCTGATGGCTGGGTGTATGCAATTGATGTGGTCGAAGAATTGGTCTAGAGCAGGCCGGCCATGTGGCCAGATGACAAAAGTGTCATCCACGTACCTCTTCCATAAGGTTGGGCGCAGAGTGGCAGTCTGGATGGCGTCAGTCTCAAATTTCTCCATGAAAATGTTAGCTATAACCGGAGATAGGGGGGAGCCCATTGGGGTGCCCTCAGTTTGTTTGTAGAAAGTTCCATTCCAAGTGAAGTATGTGTTGGTTAAACAGTGTCTCACCAGGGGGGGTACCTCAGTGTTTAGTCCTTGATGAACCAAGTCTTCAATGATTGCAATGGTGTCAGGTACAGGAACCTTGGTGAATAAGGAAACTACATCAAAACTGACAAGCAGGTCGTCTGGGGACAGGGAAATACCCTTGATTGTCGATACCAGGTGAGTAGAATTTTGTACCGCAGAGGTGGTTTTTCCAGTGAATGGACGCAGGATTTCAGACAAAAAACGAGCTAGTTTGTAGGTGGGGGAGTTGATAGTAGAAACGATGGGACAAAGGGGTGTATCTACTTTATGTATTTTTGGTAAGCCGTATAATCTTGGTAGCCTGGCAGCAGAAGGTTTCAACGAAAACTGTTTAGATTGATCAATTAATGCAGTTGAATCAGAAATTATTTTGTTGGTTTGTGTGACGAGGCTGTTGGTGGGATCTCTTTTTATTTTTGTATAACTACCATCGTCGAGTAATTCTTTAATTTTGTTGTTGTATTCTATTTTATCCATGATGACAGTAGCATTGCCCTTGTCAGCTGAGAGGACTGCAATATCATCCCTCTTTTTTAATTTATATAATTCAAAACGCTCATCTTTGCTGCGGTACAAAATTCTACTCACCTGGTATCGACAATCAAGGGTATTTCCCTGTCCCCAGACGACCTGCTTGTCAGTTTTGATGTAGTTTCCTTATTCACCAAGGTTCCTGTACCTGACACCATTGCAATCGTTGAAGACTTGGTTCATCAAGGACTAAACACTGAGGTACCCCCCCTGGTGAGACACTGTTTAACCAATACATACTTCACTTGGAATGGACATTTCTACAAACAAACTGAGGGCACCCCAATGGGCTCCCCCGTATCTCCGGTTATAGCTAACATTTTCATGGAGAAATTTGAGACTGACGCCATCCAGACTGCCACTCTGCGCCCAACCTTATGGAAGAGGTACGTGGATGACACTTTTGTCATCTGGCCACATGGCCGGCCTGCTCTAGACCAATTCTTCGACCACATCAATTCCATACACCCAGCCTTCAGATTTACCATGGAAGTCGACATAGATGGCAAGCTACCTTTTTTGGATGTCCTAATTAAAAAGAGACCTGATGGTTCAATGAGCCACTCTGTCTACAGGAAAGCTACCCATACGGATGCTTATCTTAAACCGGATTCCCACCACCATCCATCACAGAAGAATTCTCTCATCAAGACTCTGTATCATAGAGCCCAATGCATATCCGACCAGGAACACATAGGCAGTGAACTCAAGCACGTATACCAAGCTCTTAAGGCTAATGGTTACTCCGACTATACAATCCACAAAGCTATCACTCAACCCATGAAGAAGGACCCTCTTGAGGAGCCTTTCAAAACCATCACTTTACCCTACAGACAGCATACATTAAAAAAAAATCGTCTCCCCCCTCCTCTTTTCAGAATATAGATGGACTAGTCGTAAATAAACAGTGAAATTACTGCGCATGGCGCCAACGTTTTTTAATAAATAAATAAACACACCGTTTTAAAATAAATTTATGCAAACCAACACACCTGAAGACGACCGTTTGTGTTATGGTCGAAACGTAGTGAGAATTTTTATTGTTTTATATATATTTTATTATTTTGTTGTTTCCCTTCAACGTGACTTTACCAAAAGAACTAAGAATATGAATTACTGCAGTCATGAAAGCTTTAAATCAAAATTTAGGTATTAAGATGTTAAACACCAAACAGAAACCTTTAACAAGGCATCATGTCTGCATTAACCACAATGTTTGTGGTCAGAATTCAAACAAAAAACATACTCTGATAATATATGCATTGTCTTTGAAACTGATTGGGCCACACCAGAGACAGCTTTCTTTTGAGCCTCGTCTCAAACGGTGGTAGACCAGAGGACGCCAAAAGGCGTACAGCACAAAGACAATGCACTATCAGAGTAATGAGAGCTCGGGATGCACATCTGGGACCTCCTTTGCCAGTACCAAAATGTGATAATAGGTTTTTGCCCTTTTTTCTGGCAATAACACAGGTGTTAAGATGTTAAAACACCAAACAGAAACCTTTTACAAGGAATCATGTCTGCATTAACCACAATGCTTGTGGTCAGAATGCAAACAAAAACATACTCTGATAATCTAGATTTGAAGTTTTTGTGACTGCAGGGATCCATACTTTTTGGTTCTTTCAGTAAAGTCACGTAGGTATAAAATAAATTAAATCACGACGTTTCGGGCGCAACACAAGCGTCCGTCATCAGGTGGGACAACCACCGCAAGAAACAATTGCTGAAGTGGGCAAAACCATCACGTTACCATACATAGCAGGCGTTACCAAAAAGATTTCCAAAATCTTAAACAAACACAAGATCCAGCTCCGATTCAGTACAGTACACAAAATCCGTGATCTAATCCCATCTGTGAAGGATGTCATTCCTGACATGCAATATCCTGGAGTCGACAAACTAAGTTGCACCTGTGGTGGGTGTTACATTGGGGAAACGAAACGACATATCCCGGACCGTGTTCGCAAGCACAAGTCAGACATGAAACACGGCAGACCTAATACCTCCGCCGTGGCTGACCATTGCTAAAACGCTGTGGGCTCTCATGATATTGTTTTTTCCGAGACCAAGGTACTCTGCAAACCTTCGGGCTACTATCAAAGGTTTGTTCATGAAGCCATCCAGACATATAAACATAGACATAACTTCAACCGAGAAGATGGATACAAATTGAGCAATCATTGGAAGCATGTTGTTAACCAGGTAAAACCTTAACTGCTTTATGGTGTTGCCTTCATATCCACATCTCCAGTCTTCTTCAGCCTCCCACTCTCAGCCCCGCTCACTTCCACCCCCCCCCCCCCCCGGCATTTTGCCGTGCTCGCCCTTTAATCCCTTCTAGCAGCACTTCACTTGGCAGCGCTCTACTCTCCCTACCCCACAACCCCTCTCTATCTCTCCTCCCTGGCTCCTTCCCCTCTCTAACCTATATAACCTCTTGTTACAGCAGCCCTTTTGCCCACTTCAGCAATTGTTTCCTGCTGTGATTGTCCCACCTGATGACGGACGCTTGTGTTGCGCCCGAAACGTGATTTAATTTATTTTATTTTATACCTACGTGACATTACCGAAAGAACCAAAGAGTATACTCTGAAAATATATGCATTGTCCTTGAAACTTATTTTTGTTTGCATTCTGACCACAAGCATTGTGGTTAATGCAGAAATGATTCCTTGTAAAAGGTTTCAGTTTGGTGTTTTAACATCTTAACACCTGTTTTGTTGCCTGAAAAAAGGGGAAAAACCTATTATCAGTGTAATATAATTTAAACAACACTAACCATTCTAGATATGAATCATTTCCTGCCACCTGAACAAAAATTACAATTGATGAACTGCCTGTGTGAAACCCAGATCAAACCTGAACAAGTGGGAACCCTAGCTTGAGGAGCTACTTGATAAATTATACAGAGGGACATGTGAAGAGGAGACTTTGGTTGGTGTACTTCAACTTCTTTATTT